ATATATATATATATATATATGTACATGTATATATGTATGTATATATATACATGTGCATATATATACATATATATATGTGTATATATATATGTATATATATATGTATATATATATATGTATATATATATGTATATATATGTATATATATATATGTTGCTGATACCGCATAAAAAAGGCACAAAACTACAAAAAAAAGAAAGAATATACCGCGTATCAGGGGAAAAAATATGCAGTATAAATTTCCGAATATCACTGCGCAAAATACAAAAACGCAAACTGCCGATGTGGGCAAGTTACATGGGTTACTGCAATTCGGGCCTGATATATAAAAAAAAAGAAAAAAAATTCGGGCCTAGTATAAAAAATCTTTTGAATTAGGCTGAATTCTACAAGTGCTCAAACCAGTGGATCAAAATTCCACTCTCAGCCAGTTAAGGGGGAAATTTTTCAAGGGTTTTCCAATGCATGAGCAGTAAAATTGTGATAACCTAAAGCTTTGTTTTACTTAGAGCTTTTCTTCCGGCTTATCCCGTACTGAACGCTGAGAATCCTATGGAAAACTCCACACTGTAGCCTCTTTTTTGAGGAAGATTATAAATTAGTGCAATAGTCTTGCACTGTTTTAACCAGACGCAAAGCATGTATGTATTTGTTGGAAGCAAGTGATCTTGCTCTCCCCTTTCGAGAACGTTCCAGCGCACAGATCTGGAGCGTAGATCGACTGGAGAAGTTTAGGGCAGTGTGCTGACAATCAACAGGACTGTGCGGCAAAAACAAGGATCGACGTCTTCCCAGCAGCAGCTTCGACAGCGGCTCGAGGAACGTGGAGTGTGAAGGCCAGACGGACCGTGCCGACCGTGGTGCCCCGGTCAGCACCAACCGAAGAATCATAAATTCGGAGCTCCGTAACTACCAGTTTGATATTTTCTGTTGAACTAATAAAAGTCGAACTCGACGTGTGTCGCAACGGACACAACAGTATTATTCGAAGGATAAAAGTATTTAGGCGGTATTGTCAAAGAAATGCATGACAGGATGAAAACTGGACAGATCAAATGGCAAGAGAGACAACAGATGGACAAATCGGATTACTGAATACAACCTGCATAATGTTCGCCAACTGAGGGAAGGCCACCAATGCAATGGAAGGAGCCGCTTGAACAGTTATATGAAATAATTTCAATAAGAGAGGCCCAAAACAGAGAAAAATGGGAAAATTTCTAGCTGAATCAATGCCTAAGAGAAAAGCAACGCCAAAAAAACGTCTGGTCAAAGCATCAAAATACACTGCGAATTCGAAAATTCTGAGTGGAAAACATGCTAACTTACGGCAGTGATGAGCTGTTCAACAGATATCGAGCCATCATGGAACAGTGTTTCGCGGAGTTGCTCACCAGCAAGCGGTATTTCATCCGAATGTATCACAGTTCCATCCAAAAAAATACGCAAATTTCGATGAGGTACAGCAAACAGTGATTTTAGGGCTTTTCGCATACGATCCAAATCACCACTGAACAGATCCAGTGGGCAAAAATCGTACATCTGTTCAAAAGCATTCGAATAGCACTTTTCCAGCTGGAACAATAGGAAATCTTTAACGAAAGGCTTCAATTACGGACTACCAGATGTATCGATATTGATGAAGATGCGCTTCGGCAAAATGATATTTGATCAAAATATCGAACTAAGTATTCTGAACAAAATTTTGAACTACAAAAAGGATAATGAGCGTTCGGAAATTCCATGGCAAATCAATGAGTTTTTGCTCTTCCCAAGGCAATCCTGTGATCCCAAAACATCTCGATTAACGAGAAGTGAAATAACAGTGTAGAGTAATGTTATAACTACAAGGAGATGTGGTCAGACTAGGAGAATCCTCGGTATCAGTGAGGAGCCAAATTTCCTCATTTTACAGCGACTGCCAGAATTTCCTCATTCCACCAAAATGAGGTTGTTTTTGAGTTAGTCGCCGCACAAAACCGAAGAAACCTCAGAAAGTACAAAATGCTGAAAAAAAAAAAATATTTACATGAAACGTTTAGATTAGCTGTAGCCTAAAATCTAGTTCGCCCAGCATTGGACTTCGGAGTTCGGAAAGATAACTGTCTACGCGGTACTTGAACAGGGAAAACTCCGTCAAAATTTCAGTTTTCCAACTTCTCTGGGTCAGCAATTTTTCTGCCAAAAAATTTCATGGGTCCGTGTATGAGAATCACCCGTATCTGAATCGGACAATCCTTCTAGTTACCTTGATCATTGCTCTGGTGGTCAGCCTGCTGGTGACCCTAAATCGTTTCGCTCTTTCGGCTCAACGGTTTGCCCAGCAGAAATATTCGGAAACACTTTCGTGTTTCAAAATGTCTGTGATAAACGCTGCATAATACCAGTCCGGCTGGAATTTTGCCGTCCAAACTACGACGAGGCACCTTACCTACCTCATTGCAGTACAAAACTCATTTTTTCTGTAACCAGCCAATACGCAGCTACTTCATTAACGGTGAAATGATTCTTGATACGGCGTTTCCGGCACTGATGCGTAGAAGGCCAAAAGTGGCCGTAAACGAGGGAAAAAAGTGCTGAAGCTAATAAAAACGCCGACAAATTTCGAATAAAAACCACGCCAATTGTCATTCCTGTGTGATCAAAAATCTACTGCTAGAGAGGATTAGAAGCGGAAAAAGCAGAAAAAGAACTCAATTAACAAGCAAATAGGGTTCGTACCTGCAGAATGCAATTGTTGCAATATGGTACTTCGACACCTGGATGATTCTGCATGAAGCCTTGCTTCGGTTTTATTTCCACCGTAATTGTTGGCCCAAAAAACTGAGGTGATAAGCATTTCGGTATCCGCGTTGCATCGAGCATTTGTAGGACACAGACGGAGCGTACCTCTTTTGGAATGGTAAGCGGCAGGAAGCTCATCGTTGAAGGATACTTCGATATATCACACAATTCATCGAAGGTTTCGATTTTTAAATTAAATTGAAGTGAAGGAATCTGAAAAAAAAGCACCGGCTAATTTAAAGGGCAAAAAAAAAGATTAAAACAGACTTGTAACGCCGGTTCCTTACTCATTTTGCAAGGCAGGATGCTGTTGATTGCGATAACGCTAAACCGAATTGATTTTTATGCGTTTTTTGCTGTGTAACAGCAGTACAAAACA